GGTTTATAATGCCTAGAGAATGCTATAAACATAATGAAGTTTTAGCATTTTACAATATATACACTAAGATTTTTTTCTTTGGAATAATGTGGACTGACTTACTAGAAGACTAGGAACATGTTGACTAACAAATCTTACTGAGTTGTCAGTATTATGTTGTATTTCAAACCACTGAAATCGAATGATCTATACAACTGACATTCATTTTAATGTTTACATGTTCAGCAACGTTGCTGGAAAGCTCATTAGACGAAACTGTGGGTCACTTTGCATACAATTGAATACAAATAAAGCAGGAGAAATGAACAGCACCCTCCATTCCCGATACTTCATTAGACTGCAGTTTTTCAAACGGTCAGAAGTGAAATGAGAAGGAATGAGAATATTACAGGCTCATTACCTCAGTGTTTGAAACTCTGACCGCCACCTTACCAAATCCATGGTGCTCTATTCTGTTCGTGCCGTGCATCTTGAGGCAGTAGGGTCACCTCGTCACAGTTTTTTTAACATGGTAAAAGGCCTCATTTCAATGAGTGTTCACTTGGGAATTTACAAACAAAGCGAAAGGCAAAACCATTATATTTGGTCACACCTCTGGGATTTCTAAACCGGTAGCTTTGTCGTTTATATCCTTTGTTGCTTTCTTTCATTCATTCAGAACAGCTTTATGGCATAATATGGCTGAATACTAAATACTAAAGCCAAACCCACAGGATACCGAATTGGAATCTGAATTGAAATGGCAGGAATAGAAACGTACTGCATTCGAAAAACTTCATCTTTAGGTGTTGTGCCAAAACAAAGAGTTACTATAAAAGTTAAATAAGCTGTATAAGTGAACTGAAATTTCAAAGGCATCCTCTAAAGTTAACTGAAATAAAATATAAAAACTGTCATTTTAAAAATCTGAAAACTTGATATACTAAAATAACTAAAGCTAAAATAAAAAATGTATAAAAACAAAATAGTTGGATTCAAAATATTAATATTGATATATACTGATATTGAGAAGCACAAGACAGAGACATTATAAGACAGTTCATCCATATAATCATTCAATATGGCAGCTTTAAAATCTGTTATTTAAATGTATTATAAACAAAAAGGTTCATAGATGTTTTTGGCCATTCATACATAGAATGAATACTTGCCTGGAAAATTTAAACTCCTTAAAAGGGACTTTATGTGATTAAATTATAGTTTAATGTAGACAAAAAAGACGCTTCTTTTTAAGGCATTTATTCATGAAATACACACTTTCAAAATTTCAACAAAAGCTTCCATAAAATTGTAAGAAACTCCAGCCCAGTTTAAACAAAACTCCTTTGTGTGACTATGGAAACCATGTGCAATAAATAATCATTATGCCAGGGGAAAAAAAGAGACAAGGAAAAGGACACTATTAAATGTCAATATTTTACCACTAAAAGAAACTTAATAGCTGTTACAAAAAGAAGAGTAAAATGTGAGGAAAACAATGTGCTATGTATGGAACATTAGTGTGAATTGAGCCAAGCAGGCACCCATAGAATCAGAGGGACGAGAACTGTATGGATGGAAACCATGTGCAATAAATAATCATTATGCCAGGGGAAAAAAAAAGAGACAAGGAAAAGGACACTATTAAATGTCAATATTTTACCACTAAAAGAAACGTAATAGCTGTTACAAAAAGAAGAGTAAAATGTGAGGAAAACAATGTGCTATGTATGGAACATTAGTGTGAATTGAGCCAAGCAGGCACCCATAGAATCAGAGGGACGAGAACTGTATGTACTCTATCTGTGACCTGAGCACCTAACGTTATATATATATATATATATATATATAGAAAATTAACCCTATTCTTAGACCATTAAAGGGATATTTCACCCAAAAATTTAAATTATATCGTAATTTACTCACCCTCTAGTTGTTCCAAACCTGTATGAGTTTCTTTCCTCTGTTGGAGATATTTTGAAGAATGTTGGTAACATAACAGTTTTTGGTAGCCATTGAAATACACTATATGGAAAAATGCATAGTTTTTTCCACAGTTTGGAAAAACATGAGGAAGAGTATATTTTTTGGGGGTGAACTCTCTCTTTAACATGACAATTTAGCCAAACTTGCCCCCACACTATCATTACTATAACACATCTGGCCATTCTCAGTTTTTTCCCCCACAAAATTCACATTGATTTACATCAGCATAAATGCCTACAAGAAATATTTCCATGTATAAATAATTAAATATAATCTTTTAACATTACAGTAATGAGATATTTTTTGCATTACATTAATGACAATTAGAGGAAAATGTATTTCAAAACATCCCACAGGTCATTACACAATAGCAAAATATAACTTCTTTTTTTCATGTGGGGTGAAATACGACACGAATATGTTACAGATAATTTCCTGAGATTCACCTAAGGATCATCCTCTGATATCATCTCAATATCTCCAGATTTGTAGCTCAGTTTCGAATTTCAAAGTCACGGAGCACCATTGTCGCAGGGCCACCCGCTGCCAAAAAAAAAAACTAGCAAACGGAAATGATAAGAAGACCAGCCTCCAGTCTTGGCAACTTCAGTCTGGACACAGTCCACAGCTTCTAAAGCAGTAAAGCAGGTCTCTAGTAAGCTTCTTACAGCCTGCCTGTCAAGTGAAGTAGCACTGATGTCTCAATGCAAGCCTGATAACATGGCCTGAGCATCGATCCATCCCAATACTGCGCAGGATAGCGAATCTACCTCAGAGCGCTAAAACACCTCTCATGCACAATGAGGCCCTGGGAGAGTGGAACGGTGTGGTGATTTAAACAATACTAAAGCAAAAACCCCTGTCTTCCGACTTGCCTTCATCGCCAAAAAATGGAACAAACGCATAGAGATTTGTGATAGAGGTTTAACAATATAGAACAGTGCCAGAACAAGTTGCCATGTTCAACTCCTGGGATGATCGAGCAAAGCTGTGGAAATGATGTACAACAGGTCTTTACTCTAAATGCTAGTGTTCTTTAGGACAACGAAGGTGTTTTTTTTGCCATTTGAGACTTATTCAGAGTGACCTAGGACAGCAGTAAAAGAAAATTCATGAATCCATAACCAACTTTCCTCGAAGACAGGCTGTAAAAACAAGTTTCACAAGACCTGAGAGCACCAAACATTTCAAAAAGCTATACAGGTATTTTAAGACTCTGCCCTGGTCTGCACCATGTTTAGTTCGGTTTATTTGTAAAAGGTAGAAAACATTAGCACCAGTTATTGGCTCAAATGGGAGAAACACCAGCGAACACCAGCCTTCACCATGGCAATGACCCCAAAAAATGGCGAGTATCAGAAACGCATTAAATAAAAACCGTAAAATCATGCATTTGTTGCCTTTTCATCACCAGGAATAAACCTGCAGTCTGTTAGGTATGTTAGCCATTTAAATGTTTGCGTGAAATGGCCGATACATTCAAGAACGCAATATTTAAACCATCATGACAGCATCCTCTTTACAAGAGCATATTGGTGATGCAATAAAGCCAAACAATATGCAGTGAAGCTGAAAACAGAACGCATACTGAGATAATTCACATTATAAGACAGCAAAAAAAAAAACTCATGGGCAAGACTCCAGTATTGGCTATACAACAAAAAAAATCAGTATTTGTGGAATAACCTAATGATGAGAATGATCCAGAGAAATTTGGTCAAGCTGGTTTGGCATTTACCCGTGTAAAAGTTGACCGATATAGTGGATTGTTTCAAAGTAAAAACATTTGGATATAAAAAGTCAATTAGCTCTTTAAGAAAGATTTCAAATACATTTACGTTAGAAATCTGATAAGAGCCCTTTAATGTTTGATCAACTAGAAGCAGTTTGTCTGCCACAATGGAAAAACGACTTTAATTCATTGTGAAAAATCTAATAAAATAAAACCATCGATTTCAACAACTAGCCAATTTTCACTAACCTAACCCGAAAAATCATACTCTGATCTCAATTTGCCATATTCCTCTATATTAAATCAGTTAAGGTCAAACGCTTTTTGCATTCTGCCATTCATGTAGCTTGCCATCCGGAATAGAGTGAAGTCAGGAGGGAGTATGAAGCCTTTGGCACTAAAGACAGTGATAAAACAAATAACTGCACAATACATACTGTATGGACGGTTACTTGTGGGTTACATTCGTACTGTGGAGGAGCAGAGAACTGACATCACGTCATTGTAAGGACTGAATGTTACATCTTCAATTAAATGGTAATGCATTGCATATATGACATTGAGGCTGACGGGACGTATGTGTATATGAGGGGTTGGCTGTTTATGAAAGTAAGTTAAAGACATTAACATACTAAGGATTCATCCTCACACATCCTTAATGATTCTATAGAGCTGCAAATGAACATTTGGGAGGATCAAATGATTAAAAGCACCTTTCCAGTTCAAAAATCAATTTTAATCACTGATGCGTTTACTTAGACACTTAAAAATCATCCTTAATTAAAGAGAACCAAAATATGAGCTTTTTGCATCATAAAACGTCTGCACCACTAAAAAGAGATGTACTGATAGAGTGAATTTCATAACTCTTGTCAAATTGCTTGGGTCATATTTTACCCCAAAATCTAATGAAAAAAGAGGAAAAACTCTAAATAATTTATATATCTTTTGTAAAATAATTTATAAAATAATAATTATAATTATCTAAATTCATTTATTAAATTATATTTAAGAAAAAGTAGATTGTTTTTATGACCATTAAAACTTTTTTGCATCGTGACATTTTCTTAATAAATAATCTACAAAACTGCTCATTACCGCAATGCAAATAAAAAAAAAATTGTTTTTTAAAATCCTACAAAAATGTAAAAATGTGATTTTAAAATTGTATTTATATATCACAAACGCATACAATGTTCTGACTTTAAGGTGTGCTGTAAATAATGATAAAAAGCTGCATTTTTTTACTGTAATACACTTTTTACTGTATTACAGTAATGCAAATCTGTATTGAGAAAAATGAAAATCACAAAAACATAAAACATACAGATGCATTATGATAATGTCTGAATTCGGGCAGGGGATTTGCGTAATTGTCCTGAAAATAATGGCAAAAACAAATCTTAGTAGTCCCAAGCTTCATTTCCTTTAGGCAAAATACAATTTCTTTTTTTTTTCTTTTGATTTTGGGGTGAAAAATATTTAGTGAGATTCAACCAATTTGGAATCTGCCTTGAATTTAGCTGAATATTTATGTCTTTTCCATGTAGCCACATAAACACAGGCCAAAATATAGCACTTTTGGAAAACCACTCTAATCGGCCTCTATTTTTCTTGCCTTTTAGTCTTTCACACACACTTTCATTACATCTTTCATCCCTTCTCACCACCAACAACTTTTATATACAATATTGGTAAATAGAACATAAATACTACACATAAATTTGCCTATTCACAATTCCACTCGTAGCGACGCCGAAAAGTAAAGAAAGAAACCGCTCTGAAATAATACACTCATATAAACTGCTTTATATAAGTTTAGAAAGGCTCTGCGCTCCCGAGAAGTGTTAGGTAGGACCTGAGAGAGAGCGGCCAGTTTGAAATGCCTTCTCTCTTCTGGTTAGCAGTGTAAAAGTGGACACTTCCACGGAGGACGGCAGACACCGAGCACCATCTTTTTGCCCATAATTGAATTGGGAAAAAAGTTCAATGGTACAAAAAATGTTAAACCTTTTCTCATGACCTTTTTTTTTGTCTTTTTTTGTTTTAATAGTGTAAACAGCGCACCAATAGGGTCTTGGTTCCACTCATCTATACAAAAGTATAAATATATGCTTTCTCTCAATTTTTCACATATATAGGACATATAGCGGACGAACAAACAGAGAAAAGCGGTTGTTCCCAAAAGTCGCCAGTGTTGCCGTGGCTGTGCTGGTTTTGTTGTTTGCTGGCTCGTATCGGTGTTGACGGGTGTTTGTTTGGTGTGGGCATTGATGGCCTCTGCATATATAGCACGTAGCACAGTCCTCAGCCACTGGGCCAAAACAACCAAGCGTTTTTGTCCAACTACAGCAGATCCATTTTGGGTCTGTAATGAAGGAGGAGGGGGGATTTCTGGAACGCACACAAAACACACAAGCATTCATGTGACTGAAAGTCATACAGCCACTAGAATGGAAACAAAGGCACAGAAAGTCAAGTGCATCTATTGTTTTTGCAATGGCATTTCAGGGAAGCAGAATTAGATATGCAACCTTTAAAAAAAAAAAAAACATCTCTGCATCAAAATGTCAATTTCTGACTTGCTGTTGAATGAACATTACTTGAGATGGAAGAGCGGAATATATAATACTGGTCAAGATGACACAAAGACAATTTAATATCTTCACATGCTGTGTTTGATTATGCATGCATGCAAATTATGCAAATTATCCATGCATGTATAGAAAGTGACATGCACATCAGTATGGCAAATGGGTAGAATAAACCCAAGCTAATCTACGACAAGCATACATTCACACAAGTTTATCATTAATTACCTTAAATCTCCATCTTGTTACCACAACAAATTTCAAAGTATGGTCCTTGCCCAAGATTTCTTCATTGCATAAGATGTCCAGCTGAAAATAAGCACACAAATATAGCAAACAAGCCCCAAAAATACAGTATACGAGAAAAGACTAAACAAAACTATTCTTTCCGTTGTCCTGCAGTACCATTAAAGGTGCAGTATGTAATATTGACAGCTAGCAGTTAAAACGGGTACTGCAGTCCAAATTCAAAATATTGAAGTGTGTTGTTTCTCCCGCACCCTCTTCCTCAGACTCGACGCTCACATAGGTTGCAAGATGCAACAAGGAACAAGTCAACGTTAGCCAACGAGCCTTACAGTTTAAGGTCATGAATTTGTGTTTAATATTCCGCTTTTTCGATAGATGCAGAGGCTTTTTAGGTTGGGTACAATCTGCAATCTTTGACCCAGTTCGTTTGCTGGTTTTAATGGCTGCGATACACTGCGTTTACCACAAACTGGCAACCCTGTCGCAATACTATTGGTTACACTCGCAGTGGGCGGAGTCACACAGACCAAAACATTCCGACACGGAGCGTACATTTCAAAGCAGAATAACTCGCTCTAATGTTGTTTTACGGACAAACAAATGTGTGAATTTAGCATGTTTATTAAATATCTGCAAACACATTATGGTATTTTTATGCTTTTGTAGTCAAAAAATTACATACAGCACCTTTAAATAAGTCAGCTGCTCATTATCACACAATAAACTGAATGGAACCCTTATTAGGGATGGTTGGGATGGTCAAATAGTCTGCTGCTCGATGACCAGTTAGCCATCCTGAATGATTCCTAATGAGTTTATTTGGATTATTTTTAAGTTTTCACATTTTTAGCAACCTCAGACTTCATGGAGAAGGTTTCAGCATGCTTACAACTTTAGCACAACATTACAGCAATCAAATTGAGTTCACTGCCTCAAGTTAACATTTAGGCAATTACTGTCGGACACGAACATTTTCATGACTTAAATGTTAAGTTTTTAAGATGATGTGTCAAGTTAAAAACACTAAAAATGCATTGCGAGATCTTACACCCCACAGTCCAGCTAAGTTTTAAAACATCTAGGCTAGTTTTGCACAGATATTCCAACATATTTCACAGCTAATCACCAAATAAATAAATAAACCCTCTTTCGCTCTATATACATTATTTATTAATCATATGAGTGATTTTTTTAATCAAAGTTACAATATAAAAATATTTTAGTAACAGCTATGTAGAACATAATTAGGACATTGCTCAAATGTACAGTTTAAAAGCTATATATACAAAAATATGACCAGAGAACGCTGCAACTGACCAATCAGAAAAAAGTATTCCAGAAAACCGCATAATCAATTGTGTACGAACGTCTCAGCGGACAGGTGGGATTTTATGGTGCTTTACAGAAAAGTGACAGTCCTTTGTACACTCAAAACATTCAGTTCCACCTATTATTCAAGCCAAAGCAAAAGACGCAAAACCTTTAATGCACAAGAGCAGCCATAACCGCCCAAAGGATTATGTGTATCACAGTATAAGGGATGCCGCTCTCTCTGGAATAGTGCGCAGTGAAACACCAGTGCCTGGGTCTGTGTGTTTTGGCTCGCAAGACCACAGCAACACCTGCTGGAGGCCATGAGCTCACAGTACTATTCAGCGTTTAAAGGGTTAGTTCACCCAAAAATTAAAATTCTGTCACTCCCGTAAGATCTCCGTTCATCTTTGGAACACAAATTAAGATATTTTTGATGAAATTTGAGAGCTCTCTGACCCTCCCATAGACAGCAATACAATTACCACGATCAAGGTCCAGAAACGTAGCAAGGAGATCGGTAAATTAATGCATGTGGCATCAGGGGTTCAACCGTAATTTTACAAAGCTACGAGAATACTTTTTGTACGCAGAGAAAACAAAAATAACGACTTTACTCAACAATTCGTCTCCGTGTCCCCCTGGTGCCATTTTGGAGAATATTCACTGAACGTAAACAGCGTATGCTATTCTGTGTCAGCTGCGTCACGTTTTCTACGTTGTTTACGCTTTGATTTGAACGAAAACAACGTATCCTGACACAGAACCGCATACACTGTTTGCATTCAGTGGATACTCTCCAAAATGGCACCAGGGTGACGCGGAAGAGATTGATGACAGAATTTTAATTTTTGGGTGAACTATCCCTTTAAAGTCATCTAGGATGTGAGCCAGGGATGTTCAGAGACAGAAACGTCTGACAGTGAAACAATGAAACTTTTGATGCTTATTAGGATTTAGTTCTTCAAAGATTTTGCTTTTCTCCTACACTTCAAACAGAGCCGCTACACAAACTGCTACCATTTCGGAGTTGTATTTTTTTATCTGGCTCAGAGCGGTATTGTGCTGTTGGCAGCTATAACTCTCGATACTCGCCGAGAACAACAGGCATCTGACAGTATTATTGCGGGGGAAAGTTTTTGACGGATGTGTGCAGTGGAATAGCCCACACATTTCTAACACAAAGGAGGGAAAAAAGGGGGATGGAGCAACAATAATTAGTCAAGTTTTGTGTTAAATTGTACTATGAGATGTTGGCAGGCTGCGAGATACATGACAGAGAGCAAATGATATTACAGGCTATTATTTGTCTCTGAAAATATGAGGCATGCTGAAAGCTTTATGGGAATCGTGACAGCGCGGAGAAGCTTTGAAATGCGCATGGTGACTCACGCAAGAGTCTTTGTCATGAAGGGAATGCCGATGCCGGCCGACATGGTGGCAAAGGTCTCTAACGAGTCAACTTCAACTGAGGGAAAAGGAAGATTATGGGTTTCATTTTGAACTTCGCTCTTAGCATGAGGGAGCTCCAGGTCTGGCGGATCACATACCTCATTGAAAGATGTCAGGTTTAGCTTCTTCGCGATGAACTTCTTGAGGTGGAGAACCGTCGCCTGAGCCGAACAACGAATCCACTTCCGCTTGAGTCCTCTGAGCTTACTGCTGTTACACTCCAGACAGATACTCACCTGAACAGACAAAAGCAAGAGAGACTGTGACAAGAACATTCAACAATTACCTTCCAGGCTCAAACTAAATATCAGATACCACGTAGAGCCTCACAAAATACTTACACATGTAAAAACATGATATTTCAGGTACTAAACCTAAACTGGTTAAATGATCTTTCAATCTCTAATCAAGGCTCTCACAGTCTTCTTGTTGCTTTGTTAGACCTGTACTGTACTATTTTGTATAAAACTTTGCATCATTAATGATTGCTGTCACTCACGTCACCTAGAAACTCTCAATGAAATTGATTTGTTGTCATTTAACAGGTTTAGCAGAGAAGCAATTAGAGGTAATTAATTTTCAATAAATGAAAAGATTTGTAATCATATTTAAATGTATACTATATTTATATACACAAGTATGTGATTTCATCAGTGTTTGATGACATTGCAGGGCATTCCAAATCTTGTAAAATGAACTGAATCTCTTGAACCTCGTAGGAACCCTGTAAATTTGAACACCGCTTAAAATTTGCATTAATCAAAAATAGATATTTTGCGGCATCCCAGATAAACGATGCTGAGAGAACATGTGAGCGACAACCGATTTTTTTAGCTGACATTTTGTACATCTTTGATTTGAATCACTTTACAGTACCATTCAAAAGGTTGGGGTTAGAATGATCTTTTTTTTTAAGATATGGATACTTTTATTCAGCAAGGAAACCGTATAAACATTTCTTAATGTAAAAAAATATATACTTCAAATAAATGCTGTTCTTTTTAACTTTATACTCAAAGATTCCTAAGAAAAAATAATAAATTGTTTAACAAAATATAAAGCCGTGCAGGATAAGAAATATTTCTTAAGCAGCATATTAGAATGATTTCTGAAGTTTCATGTAACACTGAAGACTGGAGTAATGATGCTGAAAATTCAGCTTTGCCATCACAGGAATAACATTTTAAAATATACAATTAGAAAACCATTACTTTACATTGCAATAATATTTCACTTTACATTGCAATAATATTTCACAATATTACTGTATTTTTGATCAAATAAATGCAGCCTTGATGAGCATAAGAAACGTCTTTCAATGCTACTATACGTCACTGAAGTATTATTACTATAATTTGATTTAGACTGTTAATTATGTTTGCAATAGAGTTTCTAAAAAAGTAACAAGTCAAAAAATAAATAAAATATGATTTTTGTGATTTACAAGTGTTAAATTTAGGTCCTGGCTGTCAAGAAAGCACATTTATGTTACTTCTTCCTTAGGATGTATCGTTCCTGTTAAAAGCATCTGCTAAATTAAATAATGTCATCAACAAACCTAAGCATAAACCCAAACAGGTCATCAAGTCAAGAATAAAAGTTAAGCAACATAATTCTTACTCAAAAAGTGCAGGGCCAGAACAGTATCTCCAGTATTAACAAATAAAATGCATAATCAAATCCAAGATGAATGTAATAAATAACCCACTGCATCCCTCTCAGTTGATGGAAGAGATATTGAAACTCACCAATGTTAATTATGTTTGCAATAGAGTTTCTAAAAAAGTAACAAGTCAAAAAATAAATAAAATATGATTTTTGTGATTTACAAGTGTTAAATTTAGGTCCTGGCTGTCAAGAAAGCACATTTATGTTACTTCTTCCTTAGGATGTATCGTTCCTGTTAAAAGCATCTGCTAAATTAAATAATGTCATCAACAAACCTAAGCATAAACCCAAACAGGTCATCAAGTCAAGAATAAAAGTTAAGCAACATAATTCTTACTCAAAAAGTGCAGGGCCAGAACAGTATCTCCAGTATTAACAAATAAAATGCATAATCAAATCCAAGATGAATGTAATAAATAACCCACTGCATCCCTCCTCAGTTGATGGAAGAGATATTGAAACTCACCAAATCTAAAAAATTAATATCCAAACTCTATAAACTTATTAAATACCAATACAACAAAAACTTTACCAATTGCTAAATGGGAAAATGACTTGGCTTTCACCCCCAACAGCGACTTCTGGAAAGAAATCTGTAGTAATATATTTTCTATGACTAGCAATACAAACCACAACTAATACAGTACAAGATAATTCACAGGACTCGCATCACTCAAAGGAAATTTTTTTAAATGGGTCTAAGCGACACAAATATATGCTCACAATGCACACTGGGCAGCACCGATGACTATTTGCATGCCACATGGATCTGCCAACTGTTTGCTCATTTTGGATATTAGTGACCGATAAACTTTCCATCATTATGGGCTGTAGGATTCCTAGCACTTTGTTTACTGGGTAATACTACAGAAATTGATAATCTTCCGATTAAATACAAAAATCCACTCCTCATCTCTCTAACTATCGCCAAAAAAATAATTCTGTTAAACTGGAAATCACAAAAATTTATACATATCAACTACTGGACTAACCTTCTTATAGAATATATTGCATTAGAAAAAATAACATACACAAACAGAGAAAAATATATTTATATTCACAGACATCTGGAATCCATTTCTGACTTACCTTAATATACATCAGAAACTATGAGTAGATATACAGTATGCATGTGGATATGTTTATGTATGTGTATATATGTACACATGTACTGATGTATATTATTGATATAATGTATAGTTTTATTATGATATATTTTATCTCTATTATAATAATACCACCGAATATGGTTTATATGTACATATGCAATCTACACATTTGTTTTCTTTTTACTCCTCTCCTTTCAGTCATTCACTTACTTAATTATTTACTCATTTATTTATGTATTTACTATATGTATTTGAATATTAATAATTGAGAATTTTGGGGAAGGGAGGAGGACAACACAGATAAGAAAGCACTAATAAGAAAATGCTTAAGAAAATGTTATACTCATATGTGTAATAATTTTTTATATATATTTGTTTTTTATATTATTATACTATATGTATTTGAATATTAATAATTGAGAATTTTGGGGAAGGGAGGAGGACAACACAGATAAGAAAGCACTAATAAGAAAATGCTTAAGAAAATGTTATACTCATATGTGTAATAATTTTTTATATATATTTGTTTTTTATATTATTATTTTTTTTCTCTTCCTGCCTCTGGTCCCCAGTGACATCCCGGTCCGTATTTGGTATGGTGGAGTTGAAATATGGGTGGGAGGAGATGATGTGGGGCATGAGGCATTTCTACCCGCCGTCTCTCTGAGCTCTTTCTTCCAGGATCTCTCACCTTAGCTGGTTCTGACATGCATGCCTCGTAATATGCATCACATATTAGCTAAAATACATGCACACCTAGTAAAATGCTTGGCATGTGTGTATGTATGTATGTATGTGTGTGTATATGTGTGTACATATATATATTCTATAAAAAAAAAAAAGGGAGACACATACAAAGGGTAAGTGGGCCGTGTGGGTGAGCTGGGTCCCTGGCCTGGGCTGCACTATGCGTCTCACCTTTTTAATGCATCACAAATTAGCTGAGACATATACACATCTATACATTAAAAAACATATGTAAATAAATAAATAACAGACATCTGAGACAAGCGTGGCATGCAGGTAGTGGCCATGGATGGCTGGTGTTTTGGAGGATGGG